CAGGACCAGGACCAGGGTTCAGATGTTTGAAACAGGATCAGAGATCGGGTTTTGTGGGTCGTCATGACGGACCAACAGCTGGGAAACATCTGGAGGTCTAAAGGAAACTGCTGAAGACCATCAAGTCTTCGTTTAGGAGGAGCAGAACTCTGCAGACGGTCTAAGGTGGATCAGAACTCTGCAGACGGTCTAAGGTGGATCAGAACTCTGCAGACGGTCTAAGGTGGATCAGAACTCTGCAGACGGTCTAAGGTGGATCAGAACTCTGCAGACGGTCTAAGGTGGATCAGAACTCTGCAGACGGTCTAAGGTGGATCAGAACTCTGCAGACGGTCTGCAGCATGAAGTGAGACGTCTGAGTGACTAAATACCAAGAAGACGACAAACATGAAGGAGATTCATGTGGTTTCCTCAAAGTTTAATTATGTTGTGTGTGTGTGTGTGTGTGTGTGTGTGTGTGTGTGTGTGTGTGTGTGTGTGTGTGTGTGTGTGTCTCTGTGTGTGTCTTTGTGTGTGTGTGACTATTGTCGGTTTGACCGCAGATTGTTCCTCTTGTTTTTGCTGTGTTTCGTCTGACAGCGATTACACCGACCACATGAGCTAATCTCTGCAGCCGAGTGTGTGTGTGTGTGTGTGTGTGTGTGTGTGTGTGTGTGTGTGTGTGTGTGTGTGTGTGTGTGTGTGTGTCTCTGTCTGTGTCTCTGTCTGTGTCTCTGCTCTGTTGAAATCTGTGACTCCTGGGTGGAGGAGTTGAAGTTCCTTCATTTCAAAACAATCCTTTAAATCACGACTCAAGCTGTTTTCACACCAACATGTTAGCAGTTAGCATACTAGCATAAAGAACCTGAGAGGCTCACATTAAAAACTACTGGATACTAAAATGTGTCTCTTCTCTCACCGTGTGACGGCGTTCTTCACGCCGGGCTGGATGAGGTGGGAGAAGTATTCCTCCACCACAGAAGAAGTCAGGTGTTTCTTCAGGTAGGAGTAGAAGAGGGGATGGCGAGCGATCACTCCTGCAGAGAGAGACAGAGGACGATGAGAGGTACACAGAGGGGTCGGGTCAGCTGGGGGTTCAAGCTCTTCTCCGACATGAGACAGAACTGTTCAGGTTCCTGCCCCCTCTGAAAGTACCAGAACCTGAGCAGGGACTTATTATGGGGTAGACCCAAGAACCTTTTGTAGGTCCCTGCAGTGGGAACACCTCCAAAAAGGTTCCTGGTCCTGTGAGGTAACCAGCTCTGGTTACTGGTCCTGTGGGGTAACCAGCTCTGGTTCCTGGTCCTGTGAGGTAACCAGCTCTGGTTCCTGGTCCTGTGAGGTAACCAGCTCTGGTTACTGGTCCTGTGAGGTAACCAGCTCTGGTTCCTGGTCCTGTGAGGTAACCAGCTCTGGTTACTGGTCCTGTGAGGTAACCAGCTCTGGTTACTGGTCCTGTGAGGTAACCAGCTCTGGTTACTGGTCCTGTGAGGTAACCAGCTCTGGTTACTGGTCCTGTGAGGTAACCAGCTCTGGTTACTGGTCCTGTGAGGTAACCAGCTCTGGTTCCTGGTCCTGTGAGGTAACCAGCTCTGGTTACTGGTCCTGTGAGGTAACCAGCTCTGGTTCCTGGTCCTGTGAGGTAACCAGCTCTGGTTACTGGTCCTGTGAGGTAACCAGCTCTGGTTACTGGTCCTGTGAGGTAACCAGCTCTGGTTACTGGTCCTGTGAGGTAACCAGCTCTGGTTCCTGGTCCTGTGAGGTAACCAGCTCTGGTTCCTGGTCCTGTTGGGTAACCAGCTCTTGTTCTCTCACCGATGTTTGCAGAGTCTCCTTTGTCCCCGCTCCGGGTGTAAGCCAGCTCCTCCAGTCTGTAGCTGTGTGGTCCACTGGGCAGCTCTGCACAGAAACCAGAACACGTTTGAGCAAACGGTGATTAAACAAAGAACACCTTTTTATGTCTCCTCGGTCTCCAGCTGGCTCTCTTCAGCTGCTCAGGTCTGGACACAGTTTGAATGAGTGTGTGAAAAGTGTTTGAAGCCTCACCTGGAAAAACAAAGTGAACAGATTCATTCCTACTCTGACAACAACCATGTGTGAGGATACTTTGATATGTCGGGATCGTAGATGGACGGTCTGCCTGAACGCCCGATCCACTAAGGTTTACATGTCTCCCTTCAAGGTCTGGAACCAGGTCCTGCTGCCTTTGGATCAAGACTACATCTGGGCTTCCCTCTCTGACATGTTCTGCTTTAAAGACCAGCTGTAGCGTTATGCAGACGATTTCCTTTTATACCTTTCTAATCCCAAACGATCGACCCCTTACCGGCTCTGATTCAGAACTCTAGTGTCACACTAGTCCATGAACTGGACTTTAGGGGTCAAATGTGCTCGGGCACAGTACCGCTCTCGTGTGAGTGCGCCCTATGACCGCGTCAACCTCAGATTCTTACTCTCTTGCTGAACGTCTCTGATGATCCTGTTGATTTTTAAATGAATCACAAGGGAAGTTTGCCTGTGTGTTGGTGATCCATTAGTGATGTCTGCTTCAGTTTACTTCTTGCAGGATGAAATGACAGCTCAGCGATGTGTGCGTGTGTGTGTGTGTGTGTGTGTGTGTGTGTGTGTGTGTTTAGTTAAA